GGAGACCGGCGCGAGGTGCGCTTCGGTCGCCGGAGCTACGAGTCCGGGGCCCCTGTGGGAAACCCCTCCGGTTTGCCTGCGCCTTGCACCTTTGCTGCTCTCTCTCGCTCTCTCTCTGGAGTTCGCTTCGAGGCCGCAGGCCTTCGAGCCGCCGATTCCGCCTCTGATGATGGCTTTGCCGGCGAAGCCGGAAGCCACGGTGGAGACGCTGCGGCCCCTTCAGCCGGGACAGAGCCCCAGCCCAACCAGGCAGAGCCCAACCAGGCACAGCCCAACCAGGCACAGCCCAACCAGTGGCCCAACCAGGCAGAGGGCACAGAGGAGAGAGGAGGGAGGGCTTTTCAGGGAGGGCTTTTGGGGCTCCTACTTGCTACTGTTAGCCTACCGGTGTCGCACTGAGAGTCGCAGTGGCAGGCATCCGGAGACTGCGAGGGGCCGCAAGTTCCGTGGGGACTGGTCGAAGGGAACGGCCGCGAGCCGGCTGCCCGAAGTGAACAACACCTATTCGCCCGGCGCCCAGGGAGACCAGAGAGGGGAAAAAGGGATCTGTGCTGGTCCTTTCGCTCTTTCCGAGCTTCGAACGGGGCGCGCCTCTGAAGGATCAACGGCATCACGTCGCAGCCGATCCAGGTCTTCCGGAGCTCCTTCGTGGAGTTCATCAGGCCCGCTATCAGGAAGCGAACCTCGCTGCTACGCCCCTTCAAAGACGCTTTTGGGGCGCTGTCAGGTCCAACTACTCCTCGGTGGACAGGCAGGAGACCCCCTGCAGACGGCTAATCGCCAGGAGCTGAGAAGCAGGGCAGAGCCCCACAAAACAGGGGCGAGGCCCGCAAAGAGCGCACGAAACTTCCTCGGATCCTAAAAAAACACTCCCTGGACCTGAGGCCTCCTTCGTCATGTTCTGTGCCTGGCTGCTGGACCGGAAGGAACCCGAACGCAACGGGCGCCTTGGGCAGAGCTTGGTCAGGGGACGATCTCTCGATGCCTCTCTCCGGTAGCTTCCCCTTCTAACCTATGGTGCTGGCAAGAGCCTCTGTGGCTTTTGCACCGGGTTGGCTCGGTCTCTAGCTCCTACACGCCAGTGAGTTTCCTTGCAACTTGCAGCCCTTTTGTGCCACCATCATGAGTGGCAGGATACCCGAAACCTCGTTGAGACACGCCCGAACCTGCAAAGACTTCAAACCCTGAAGCCCTACACACCCCAGAACTCCAAAGCACCAAAATCCAACCGGCCCCCAACACCCCAAAGCCCGGACCACACCACAGATGCTCTCTGGTTTTTTCTTTTCTTTTGGGTGAGGTGCCTTGCCAGAGCCGTCCGGAGCCCCTACTTCGCCCTTTTGTCCACGGTGGTGATCTTGGCCAACGCCGTCCCCGGGACCCGATCTTTCTTCTTCGGGGTTGTGTGGTTTTGTTTAATGAGGGGCTGGGTCTTGCGGTGGTTTTGGGGGGTTTCGGGGTTTGGTTTAGGTTTCAGAGGAGCAGTGATTCTTGTTTCACCTGCCTTTTTTGGGGGGTGCCCAAATGCCTCGGAATACACGAGGGGCCTTGGCTGACTGACGCTTCTTGGGGTTCTGCTTTGCGAGCTTCAGTCCGACTGTAGAACCTTTAGGGCTCAGGGCTTAGGGTCCTTAGGGTGGGTCCTTAGGAGGATTTTAGGGTTTAGGGCTTAGGGCTTACAAGGGCCCCTTCCCGCCGTCTCTCTCTGGTGCCTCCTTCTGCTCCTTGTTGGCGAGGTCGTCATCTTGTACGCCACGGACTACGAGATGCAGAATCTCAACCAACCCACCAACCCCCAGATCCGGCCTGTGCCTTGGAAGATCCCAGGCTCCCCCCTTGAGGCCTTGAGGCTCCCAACAACCGAGCACTCTGAGGGTTTAGGAGTTTGGGGTTTAGTAATTTAGGGTTTAGGAGTTTAGGAGTTTAGGGTTCAGGGATGTTTAGGGTTTCTCGAATCTTGTGTCTCTCTTGGCAGGTCTTGCTCTGCCTGAGCGTCGCATGCAGTGCGTGTTCAGCCCTGAACCCTAAACCCTAAGCCCTAAACCCTGAACCCTCAACCCTAAACCCGGAACCCTGAACCCCCAACCCTGAACCCTAACCCCTAAACCCTGAACCCTGAGTTGTCGAATTTTGACATAGTGCTCGAAGGACTTCGTTGTCCATCAGAATTTTTGTTAACCCTCAAGATGTTGCGCAAGAGACCTAGTTGTCTGCTTAATTCATTGCAAGCTTCTGCAAAAGTACTTCTTACCTTCTCGAAGAGACCTTGTGTCCGCTTAATTCACTGCATGTTGCTCTGTTCTGTCTTCTAGGTTCTTATGTTTGCGGTGTTGAGAATCTTCCGCCGCT